TATCGCTCGACATCACGTTTATAACCTTTGAAGTTGAAAGCGGCGCACCCTTCTCCGGGCGAGGCCCAGGAAAGGTAGAAAAGGCTACCGTCCGTGTAGTAGCAGCCCAGGGGTCCTACCATATCGTTGGATGGCTCGCCGTCGTAGTTTCCACACAGGCCGGCTGTGTTCCCGCGGTGGTACATAGCCATCTGTTGATATATATTTGCCCTATAGCTACATTTTTAGACGTAATGTATCTAATTATACTAGTTAAATACTTCACATGCAGAAAAGAATACATGCATAACTGCAAGATATACCTCTGCTCTTCATTTTGCGTAGTTCACTGACGACGCACATACAGAACCTAAATATATATCACGTACGTCACTCCAGACACCATTCAACACTTACCAGGAATTCTACTTTGTCTGACACCTTGACGCGTGTTCCACTTTCGAACACGATTGTATGACTGTTATCATGGTGCAAGACGGTATACCTGTTATCTGTTCCCTGGGCTGGTTCGCCGTTCACCTGTTTCAGGTGATATAGGAATCTATTAGGGCAGGTGACTGAATGAAGATTATGCATGCTGATGTAAAGAATCGGATTACACAAAGCAAGGCTGTTGGTTTGTTATGATACCGTTCCAAAATAGAATGAATGCAATGGTGTGATAGCAGAAAAAATCATATTGATAATATCAACAAAACTTACAAGGAAAAAGGTTGGGGACAAATCAAAAACGAGTCCTTCCATGTGCCAGATGATGCGGACTTCCCACTCGCCTGAGTTGCGAACGAGAATGGCGCCTCGCTGGTTGTGGGTTATGTCGAAGGACATGGCGCTCCAGCACTCATTGGGTTCGAAGTAGTATTCCTTGGCGTCGAAAGTCCTAATCTGTAATTCATGAGTTAAATAATCAGGAAAAAAATACAGAGAAAAGAATGGAATTTGAACCATTGTTCTGAAATCAACTGTTTTCCTTGTTGAATTATTCATTTTCTTTCTTTCCTTGACTTCTAGACTGGAGATAAAGGGTAAGAACAGAATAAGATTAACAGGAATGATATGAGACGTATTTATTTATTTTTTGTTTGCTGTAGGTTCGTTGCAAAGAAGTCACTTAAAGAACCATCGAAAAGATGGGTAACATTAATACTTGTTCTTGCAGACGGATGCTATCATGGACATATGATTACACCATATCACATATTATGGATAATTTTTGAAACGATAATAAATTTGACACATGGCTTATTAATGTTTGATGTCAATCCAGTATGTTTTAATTACATTTTTGTATGTGTTTTTTTGTGATATCAAGACAAGTGGCTCTGTGCCTCACAAATATAGGTACAGACTTTTTTTTTCCCAAGGCACCGAATAAAAATCAAGAGACACTGTACCTTGTGTTCTTCGATGGTGCAGGCCACTGGCGTGCGACCGACAGCGAGGTCATAGAGCAGGGTGGTCGCTAAGGGCGCGGGTGTGAAGATCGGGTTGGCCCACGCCGGGAGTTCCAGTTCATTGATGATGGACACGGCATAGGGTTTCTCTGTCCTTATGGTCCACAGGCCAGTCTCGATGCACCTGGAGATACAGAGAATATGTTAGAGTTTGCCAAGGTCCGGGCTTACTCCTTTTTACCAAAGATGCCACTGAGGATATCAACAATGAATAATCATACAGCATAGATAAATTCTGCATTCCAGTGACTTACTTTGTAGCATCAATCTCAATCCTGGAAGCGTAATGCGCGCTGGTGTGGTCAAATTCGATCTTCTTGGACAGAGAAGCCTTGATGATGTCATCAACATAGTATGTAAGGTTCTTCAGGTTGTCTGGGAAGTCCTAGAAGCAGAAATGTGTTCTGTGAGTAACAGTCACATGATCAATATAGGAGGCTATTTAAGCACCAAAGCCTGGATCAAGTATCAGAGACTGTATCCACCGATTTCCAAAGGGTTTTGGAACAGGGAGCTTCCTTACTGGTGTCCAGGTGGCAGTGATGTGAGAGTGGTCATACAAAGGAGAAGTGATGATGTCAATGCCAGGAGCGTAGGTACTGTAGTCGCAGTCCTTCTCTATTGCTTCCTTCACTTTCTCCTTGACATTGCTGCTGACATCAAATGAAGCCTGAAAGAAGCAAAACAAATGTATTGTCGTGCATTCCAATCAGATGAAACATTTATACTCATGCTCTCTTGGACAAGTTCTCTTCCCCTCACTGTCTCACCTCCAACAACAAGACCGGTGATTCCTCACACGTCTCGCCCTCGTACAACTCAGCCTTGACTGTGGAATGGTAGTTGGCCGTCAGAACATCCTCAGTGGTGAAGAATGGATTGAAATGCGGCTTCACAATCTGGGCGTTCAGGCAGATCTGGAAGAAGCAAGATCAGCGTCACAAATCTGACTTTTTGTCGCAAATCTTCATATAGAAAGAAAACCAATTGACTCAATAGAAGACATCCTCAACAAGAAGTCTTAAAATACCACGCACAGTGTATGG